GATGTTCTCCAGTTTAAACGTATTCGTCGCAAGGCTGAGCGGAAAGCTCTTAAAAGTGGTCTTTCTTCAGATTGGCTTGCTTATCGTAAAATCTGTAATAGATATTCTGCTCTTCTCAAGTCTACTCGAGCTTCTTATTACTCAGATTTAATTGGTCAGTGCGCTGGTGACTCCGGGAAGTTGTTCAAATTGGTTTCATTCCTTTGTAAGGGTCCTAATGTTAATGATCTACCACCTCATGATGACCCAGTTCTACTTGCGAATAAATTTGGGGAATTCTTTGTTAAAAAAATTGAACTCATCAAAGATTCCATCAGTGATATTGAAGTTAATCCTCCTTATTCTGATACTGCTGCTCCAGCTGTAGAACTTGACAGTTTTTCGCCGTTATCAGTGGAAGATGTTTGCAATATAATCAGTACATCGTCTAATGCCTCATGCTCCCTGGATCCAATCCCTACATGGCTTGTGAAGTCTTGTCTTGACGTCCTTGCGCCCTCCATTACTCGCATGGTAAATTTGTCTATTCGCCACGCCTATGTTCCCGATGATTGGAAAACTGCAATTGTGAAACCTCTATTAAAGAAACCCGGTCTAGAGTTAACTTATAAAAACTTCCGTCCGGTAAGCAATCTAACATTCATCTCCAAGATCGTCGAAAAGGCGGTTCTTTCTCAATTGTTTAAGCACTGTGAATACAATGCTCCTCTGCCGAAGTTACAATCAGGGTTTAGAAGATTTCACTCTACCGAAACTGCCTTGCTTAAGGTTCAAAGTGATATTCTTATGTCAATGGACCATCAGGAAATTACGCTTCTTGTGCTACTGGATCTAAGCGCTGCTTTTGATACAATCGATCATCAGATTCTCCTTAATGTTCTTGAAAGCGATTTTGGAATCATTGGCTCTGCCCATAAATGGTTTGCGTCTTATCTGTCTGGCCGAAAACAACGTGTTCTCATAAACGATCGAACATCAGATGATTTTCATTTGAACTGCGGTGTCCCACAAGGCAGCTGTATGGGTCCTATTTTATTCATATTATACATATCTCGACTATATCACGTGATCGCTAACCATCTCCCCTCTGCTCACGGATATGCCGATGATACACAACTTTATCTGTCGTTTAGACCCAATGACATATCTTCGCAAGACCACGCCATAGCTGCTCTTGAAGCCTGCATTTCGGATGTCCGCTCATGGTTGATTTATAATCGCCTGTTAATTAACGATTCTAAAACCGAATTCTTAGTTGTTGGTTCCCGCCATCAATTATCAAAAATCGCAATTGATTCCATCACAGTCGGTAATTCTACCATTCAGCCTCTCAACAGTGTTCGAAACCTGGGTTCCTGGTTTGACTCCAATATGTCCATGTCCATTCACATTGGTAAGATCTGCAGCAAAGCTTTTCATGGATTGTATAAAATTCGCCAAATTAGGAAATTCCTCAGTCCTGAGTCCACGAAGACTCTTGTTCACGCATTTGTGACTTCGCATTTAGACTATTGCAACTCCCTTTTATTTGGCGTACCCAAGTACCAGACAGAGCGTCTTCAGAAGGTGCT